AGACAGCCCCTACACCCTCCTTCAATAGCATATTGCCTTTGTTTGAGCCATGCTTCCCCAGAAAACCTGTTTGATGTGTCTACCTTCACAAGCTATTGATAACTGCTCATGGCATATATCTTCTTGGGTAGCCACCCACCCCCAGTGGCAGAATTTCCCATTCCTCTAATTTGCTTATGAGAATGTCACATAAGGCAGCACAAAGATAGCATCGCTCCCACTTTCCCTGCAGTACCCAGCCCATCACCCTAATGAAAAGAAAATTAGATTGATTTGACACAGCGTGTTCCTGCTAAATCTGTGTTCTCAGCCCCAGCACTGCCCTCTCAGTGTTTACCACTTGGTGGCCTTACTAATTTGTTCCAGCGGTTTTCTGGGTATCGAGGCAAGCTGATTCATCTAGTGTTTCCTGGATCCTCTTTTTATCCCTTCCTGGAAGCAGATGTTGAATTGGGCATCTGTATCCTCCTGGGACACAGGTCCACACCAGCTCTCTGCACCTCTTCCCTTCTGACCTCATTGCTTTTGACAGTGAATGGTTGTCACCCTGTCGCAGTGAAACCCACCACCTCTAAGGACAAGCAATGGCTGTAGGTTCCCTTCCTGGCTGGACTGCCTTCATAGTTGAGCCCTTGAAGTAGAGAAGTCCACCTGTTCCAGGGTGGATTTGAGGCAAGGGAGATCAGAGCCTCTGGAAACGGGAATATGCACAAGCTGGACTGTAGAGAGGGCACATTGGCCCTGGACTTCTGGGATGGAGAGGGATGACGAGCGATGGGGAGAGATTTAAGGGAGGAGGTGAATGTGAAGGTATGGGCAGGTACCACCCCACATGGGTTTGGGCTCCCTGTTCATCTGGTGGGCCTCATGATGGACCCTCCAGGCGTAAGGAATGAGCTCGGTGCCCTCCAACAAGGGGCAGTGGAGCGGGCAGGCCCACGGCTCCTGCCTAGCCCTCCAAGACCCTGGGTGCCGAAGGGAGGAAGACAGAGAAGGAGAAATTCTGGAGCCAACTCAAAGCAAAACTAGAGAAAGCAAAATGAGGGCGGTGGGAGGAAATGTAGATGTTCTGCAAGCCTACAGCAGACTCGGTGACAGGCAGAGCAAGGCTCTTGGAGGGATGGAACAGAGGAGATACTGTGGGCCTGGACCCATCAGGACACACCAGGGCTGCTCAAGCTGGCCATAGTTAGGGGTCCAGGCAACCTGCCCATCAGCCTGTCCCTCCTACCACCAACCACAGCACCTACCAGCTTGATCCAGCCTGTCTCTTCCAGGACCGACAGCCGCCTTCCCAGTGAGTCAAGGCCATGGAAATGCTCCCACACCCTAGTGCCCAACAGACCAGTCCCACCCACAGATCATCCCATTAACCCAGGGGCCAAATATCCCACACACCCTGCTACAGCACTTCCAGCCCAACCTCTTCCAAACCCAAACACAGCTCTGAGACCTCTCAGTGACCAGGACAGTGCTCACCTTAGTACCACATGACCCAACCTCCCCTTCTCCCCCCAGCATCTGCAATGTCCCATTTTGCAGGTATGGTGTTTTGCTGCTCCATGTCACAGCTCTCCTCGAAGACACTGCTGCAAGAAGCAGGAGAGGACTTCCTCTCCATCTTCATCTGCCAGACCAGTTTTCTCAAGATCTGGTTTTTGGGTTCAGGTTTCTTTAAGGGATACTTACTCACATGTTGTTCACAATCACCTTTAATCAAGGCTGGGGTATATGAGGAGCCAGGCTGGCTCTCAAGCACCTGTATAAGGGGTTTTGCTTGCTTAGGTATAGCTCAGGCATGCTGAAGTCACATATCCAGCTTCCTGCAGATGCTGACAGGAATCAGACCCAGCTCTCTGAGGTCTCCCAGTGGGGTCTGGCCATCCCCTATCAGCAAGGTCCCAATGTGAGACCAGGAGTGAGCTCTGCTCTCCAGAGGTCCCAGTTGGTGTGCAATCCCAGGGAGATGACAAAGCATTTTGTCACCAAAGATGGTAGCAGCTGCTCCACACTGGGGGTCCATGGTCGGAAACGATTGCTCCAACTCTCAAACCAGAGTGTGCAGGAAATGCAGCAGCTTCAGCACCCATGGCTGCACCCAGGGTATGGCATGGGAGGAGCTGCAGCACACAGATGGGGTGGCTGGGGGAGCTGCGTGTCTGCAGGGGTGCACACGTAGTTGGCATGCAGTTGTTGTACAGACCTGGGGGCATGCACACAAATTTGGATGGGGAGTTGTATGCACATTTGTGTGTTCACGAGCATTTGCGTGTGCTTATGCATGCACGTGCATGGCCAGGCCAGGGTTGCTTGCTCTGGGGTGATACAGAAGGAAAAAAATACTGGAACCTTCCTAGTTTGACTCCTGTGCACTTGTGAGCAGAAAGCATGGGGGAAGGGGCTGTCAGGAGCATCCTTCATCACATCACGATGCCAGTAGGAATGAGGTGGGCAGACCCAGACCTACACCCTGTCCCCTCTGGCCTTTCAGGAAACATTCCCAGTGATGGCACATCCTGAGATCATGGAAGAGTCAAGTTCAAGCAGTACTTAATTTTATAGGACCTTGTTCTTCTCCTGCTTGCACTGCTGTAAGCCTCGGTTTTCCCAAAATGGGATGCTGAGGACCAGGCTGGGGCCCTGCTCTTCTTCTGTCGGTGGGCAGTGGCTCTGAGGTGAAGGGGTTAGATCCAGCTGCTGCGATGCTGCAGGGAAGTGAGGTCAAAAACCAAAGCCAGGTGATAGGGTTTGCCTAACCACTCTGCAGCAAACCTCCTCTCCGCAGCCTAAACCGAAGACCACTGAAACCCTGCCACCCACACCCCTCCAGAGCCAGCAAAGAAGCTGCAGCAGAAAGGTTGTACCCCAAAACTATACCAGACCCATCGCAGCCCAGCCTCTTCTTGGTGCAGGATGGGAAAACCAAAGGATTTGAGAGTGTCAGCTCAGCCCCACCCCAGAAAATCTGACACAAACCTTAGCATCATAGGTGAAAATGAGTTTGCTTGGATCCCTGCTTAATTTGGAGTGAAGAAAAGGGCCGTAAACCTGCCAGTTGGCACAAATAGCAGGCAGCCAGCTGATATGGGTGCAGTGGTGGGGAAAAGCAGGAGAGCTGTGATAAGGACTGAGGGGTAGGGAAAGGAGGGATGTGGGATGGTGGAGCGGGGAAAACCAGAACTGGGGACTTCCCAGGACAAGAGGTAAAACAGGTCCTGCACGGTAACTCCAGCAAGACTGAACTACTATCAGCACACTGGAGGGAGAGTGAAAACCATGTGTGGCTGCAATCCTGGCCTGCACGGAAAGACAAGAGCAGTTCCTGCACACAAACGCGCTCGGCTCCCCCTCCCCAAGCAGGATGCTGGAGCCTGGGGGCTGACACCCATCCCAGGGCACTGCTTGGTTTGGAGATGCTCAGTCTGGGGTTTGAAACCTGCATCCCTCCTGGAGCTCATCCCAGCCCTGCTCCTGCTCTGGCCAGCACAGCCAGTGCCATGCCCAGCGCAGGGGAGCGTATCCTGTGTATCTGCCAGTGCTGGGCACCCTGTCCTCCAAACAGGGATGGGAGATGGTGCCTGGCAGACTAGAGCATCCCCACCAGTGACCTCACACACCCCCAGACCCCAGCCTTGTTCCCTGCAAGGGGCAGGATTGCAGCCAGGCTGCTGGGGGGACGGAGGGGGCACAGGCACTGCCGGGGGCTGAGAGCTTTCCCATCCCAAATGACAGCAGGAGATGCTTTTGCTATACCTCCGACCCCACCGGATGGCTTGGGAGCCTCCAGCTGACTGCTGACCACTGGGAGAGGAAGGGACCAGGACGGTCATTCCTGGAGGAGCCATGGCTACAGCCGGGGGGGGGGGGGGGGGGTGCAGGAAGGGCTGGAGGCTCAGCACCTCTGCTGCCCGCGAGGCAGAATGGAAAATATGCAGCAGGGCCCACCCTCTCGCTGGTGTCGTGTCTGACGGGAAAGCCAAATGCAGAAGTGCTGACTGAGCTCCTGCTTCTCACCCACTGCAGCTGCCTCCTGCCTTGGTTTTCCGGGCGAGCCCGAGCCCAGCCAGCCATAGCAGTTCCCTGCCAGAGCCGCCAGAACACGGAGCAGGGCTGCTGCTTGCAAAAAATCCCAACAGACAGAGCCATGCACTGAGATAAGTGAATTCTGTGGGAGTTATGGCACTGCACGTGGGAGCTTTCAGCAGCACCGGGGACACACCACATCCACTGTCCTACCCTGAGGAAGGGTGAAAGGCATCCCAGATGGATGTTTGTCCCATCTGGTTCCCTCTGGAGCTTTCTCAGGGACTTTCCAGCCCCTGCAGGGGGCAAACTGGGATGCCTGGAATGCCTCACCCCTTCCACCAACACACAGGTTGACTCCCACAAGGCTGCATTGGTTTTACTGGGGATAAGGGAAAAAAAACTGCTGACAATGCTGCTGAAGTGTGAGATGCAACCGATTCTTCTCTGTTTCTGCTGGGTTTCACAGTCTCCCAGCAGGTCTCTGCTGCCTCCAAAGCCACTCTCCTTACTGGGGTTTCTTCTCTCAAGCTGTTGTCGCTTCTTTCTGTTCTGGTTTCTGGCAGGCAGCACGGCCCCAGCATCACTTTCAAGAGGGAAAATGGAAGTTGGGAGCCAGAAAGCTGCAGCGAGCACCATGCTGTAAGCTTTGTCCCAGCTGACAGCAGCCGGGCCCCCGGCACAGCAGGGGTGCTCATCCCCAACAGGCTGAGTGAGCGCCCCGAAACAAGCCTGGTAGGGTGGGGCTTGCTGTGAGCTGTAGCTGGATGACCGGCTCAGACAGGGGCGAGAGGAAAAAGAGCAGTGGCTTCTCTAAATTATTAAGAGCAGCTTCGTGGAAGAGTGGCTTATGTATCGCAGGGAGAGGCCCAGGAACCACAACAGACGCCACCGCCTCCCGGCTCTCGCCTGCACGCTGCCAAGAGCCGTTATTTGCCTGCCCACGCGCTTGCCATCACGAGTCAACAAACTCCCCAGACGTGAAACCCTTTATTCACCCCACAGGGACAGATCTGTCTCCCACCTGTGGAGGGAGGGGCATGGGGGTAGATTTCCCTTCTTGAAGAGGAAAGCGCCTGGAGACAGGAGGAAAATCAGCCACCCACTTCGCAGGGGTTTCTTTAAATAGTGGCACACAAGGCAGCCTCTGCCCCACGTGAGGAGAAGCCCCCCAGCCCCAGGCTCCCGTGATCAGCATCTCCCAGGACCCACTCCAGCTCTGGCCTCCAGTCTTTTCTCCCACAGTCGTGCTTTGCTAGTTGGGTCAGACCTGGGCAAGGGAAGCAGCGTGGCCACTCCAGAGAGCCCCAGGTGGAGGTAGAAAACAGAGTTATGATGTAAATCACCTTCAGGACAGACCTGTTGTCATTGCTGCTCTTCCCCAGTCCATCCTCCCTGCAATGAGTGAAGAGGCATCACGTGGAGCCCAGCAGGGACCTTCCTCATCCTGTGGTACCCATCCCACAGCCACGATTCCACCGTGGCCAGGACTGTCTGATATCAACTCCAGCAGCGGCCCCTCTGTTGTTTCGGTCCTGGCACACTGGATTTTTCCCAACTGCAAACTGCAGTGGGAGCGAGGGGCCAGGGCAGCCTGTCCCTGCCCCCACCCCTCAGCGAGGAGGGACCCCAGCCCTCAGCAGGGCTGCGACTGAAGCTGCCAAGTCCTCTTGTCCTGGTGTTTCTTGCCTCTCTCTGGCGTGACAGGTTTCTCCTCTGGGAAGACAATGGTGGCGTATTCGGTCTGGTCGGCCAGCCGAGTCTCAGAGGGAATCTGGGCGTGCTGCTCCCACTGAAATTCCAGCACGCCGTAGTCCACGGTGGACACGGACACCATGGGGGGCTTTTCTTCCTTCTGCAAGGAAATCCCGTCAGGGCGATTCATCATATCTGCCATCCCCAGCACAAGCCCCCTTTATACAGCAAGTGCCAAAACCAGCTCTGAAGCATCCCAGGAGGGCGGGAGCAATACAAAGCAGAAAGACACACAGACCTGGGATAACGTTTGCCCAGAGAAACCAGGCTGTGAGCCTTGGGGTCACCGCTGAAGCCATGTGGGTCTCAGGTCTCTGTCTGTGCAGGCAGGTTGTGCTCCCTGCCTGCCCAGCCATGGAAGGCAGGGTTGGGCTAGGAACGCTCTTCCCACCTTTTCCTTAGGCTACTAGCAGACACGAGGTGCATGAGGAGAGTCTGAGGCTGAGTTTGCTCAGCCCAAAGAGGGGAGAGCAAAGGGGCACCTACTCACTGACTTCAGCTACCTAATGGGATTGGAGAGAAGATGGAGCCAGACTCCTCCCGGTGGTGCCCAGCAAAAGGGAGAGAGGAAACAGGCACTAGCTGCAGCAAAATACATTTTAACTTAATATATTGTCAGGGGGGAACATTTCCTCCCATTTTCTACATCAGCACAACCCACTGTCAAAGATAACCCCGCTTTGAGCAAGGGCTGGACTAAAGAGGTCCCATTCTATCTCAGGCAGGTTTTTGGTTTTGTGATGGGGCTGTGCTGCAGCTGCAGAAAAGCAGTTGTAGCTGTGCAGAGAAGATCAAGCAGCATCAGAGAAAACAGGAGAAGCGAGAAACCTGTGAAAGGCTGATAAAGGGAGGCCCTGCACACTCTGCACCCCAGAGGTGCCACAATGCTGCCCTGCAGCACAGCAGGGCGTCAGAGATGGAAAACTCACCACTGGTTTGTTTTCACTTGGTGGTTTCTGCACATCTGCAAAGCAATACGTTTGGTTAGCAGATGCTTGTGTGCCAAGATAGTGTGAGCATCTAAGCCTGGAGCTGTCCGAGCTCCCACATCCTAGGAGAGCGCTGGACACCGCAACTATTGCATCACACTTCCTCCTTCTTCGCTTAGGGTCTAAAACCCTGAGCATTACAAGGACAAGGGAGATACCAGCCCACGGTCTAGGGTTTAATTGGGATTAGTGGGGTGCAATTCCTCAGGGGTCCCTTCTGGGAGACATCCCCCCAGGTGCCTATGGCATGGCTGAGGCTATGCCTGATGCTGCAGCACAGAGACAATGAAGTGCCCCAAAGGTGCCCGGGCAAGGTGCAAGGGAGAGGCACATGCAGCGTTAAGGCACCACACTAACAAGCAGTGCAGAGCCACAGCACGTGGTCTGGGGGCTCTATGAAGGGCAAGCAGAGCCCAACGCACCCTTCTCCCCTAGGCACGGAGATACCTGTCCCATAGGGACGTGCCACAGCTGAGTTTAGCATGTTGAACCAACCTGTGTACCCCAGGGAGCTGCAGGCATCAGGCTTTCCCCAAGCCCCAGCTGGGTTTGCTAGATGAGCATCACCAATTAGGTCCCTTGGCAGATCTCAGCCCCTCAGCGCAGCATGGCCCCCACAGATGATCGTACCTCCTCTCCTGTATGTGACCGTGAGGTAGCCGAAGATCAGCAGCACAACCGCCCCGGCCAGCAGCAGGATGCCCAGGAGCACGGCCTTGATGTGGTCCGGGGGATTGCTTTCCTCCATCTCAGGCTCATCGGTGGCATTCGTCTTCTCAGGGGCTGCTGCAATAGCCATCAAAAAAAGGGCGAACAAAACATCAGGTCAGGAGTGGAAAATGGCCTCTATATTCCTTGTGAAAGGCAACAGGGGAACATGGGGGCTGTCCCCAGAACAGGCTCAGTCCCAGGCAGGCTGCCACAGCCCCACCATCCCTCCAGGAACCTTGAATTTGGGCTAGCATCAAGGATGTTTTGGCCATGTCCCATTCCTTCCCATTGCAGGTGGTGAGGATGATCCCACACCACTGAGAGTTGGGGTGCAGGAGGCCAGGGCACTACCCTGCACACACAGGCCATCCTGCAGCATCACCCCATGCCCAGCAGAGCCCCACGGAGGACACGGCTTCCCCAAGCCTCCCCACTGCTTCCACATCCTGGGGCTAGCACAGCATCACCTCACACTGGGAAGGGATGTTGTGAAAGAGTTCTGCACTGTTTTTCCTTTTTATAAAAGTATACCTTCATCCCCACAAAGCCGCCATGCTGCCAAGGAAGGGCATGGCAGGTCTTACTGCAAGATCTCTGTCTCCCATGCCATGGGCCTACGAGACTCTCCCAGGTAATGATTCTGCAGCAACAGTATCTACACCAACACTGGCTGTTGAAGGGGTCTGAGCCCTGGTCATCACCCCAAACACAATCCTGTCCCCAAAGGAGCTGTTCAGGGCTGAAGGCAGCTCCCTACACTGGCCTCCTGCCTCCATCCAAGGGGAAGGACTCACTCCTCCCCACAGCATCACTGGGGACACAGCCCCAGCAGGATGGAGACCTCCTGCATCAGGACCAGTTCCAGCCCCAGTGTGGACGGGGGGCGGACAGCCTGTGTCCCTGGGCCTCAACCCTGAGTGAAAAGGCGAGGGGAAAGGGCAGAGCTGTGCCCTCCTGACCCACACCAGGTCCTCCCCCAGTGGGGTACTGCCTGCCTTATGCCCTGGGGCTGCAGTGTTCCTGGGGGATGTAGCACCATGGGATGACACCAATGACCTGTCCCCATCAGCTCGGCCCTCAGTCTGACCTGTGACCACCAGGTGGGACCGGTTGCTCTCCATCACTTTGTCAGGTTCAAAGAAGGTGATCAGCCCGCAGTAGTAGGAGCCTGAGTCATTCTGGTGAAGGTTCAGGATCTCGATTGTGAAGGCAGGAGCATGGTTGGTGAGCAGGTACTTTTTTGTGTTTGTCTGGGTGTTGTTCCGGCTGATTTCAGCGATTTTTTGGGCTTGGCTGTTGTTGGTCTCCTTGTACCAATTGAGGCTGTACTCCGAGCCGAAATTGTTCTCCACGGAGATATTGCAGAAGAAGGTAGCTGAGCCTCCTGCAGGGAGACTTAACATAGCTGGGAATAAGGCCACTGTTTGGGAGAGAGAAAACAAGAGACAAGAAAATGGTTACAACGGGCAGAGGTCTCAAAGACAGTCATACACCCATGCAGGAACCAGGGATGCAAAGAGGGTGCGAGCCCGCCGTCACCCCTGCTAGCACCCCATACCACAGAGAGATGATGGGTTCCTACACCCCAAACCCAGATGCTCCATGTGTTCCTCAGCTGTTTTACCCTCAGCTCCTGAAGGCCCCTAAGGGGATTTACAAAAACCTGCCACCGAGTGCTTGCGAACCCAGTCCCACACCACCACCAGCACCCGGCTCACCCGCAGCCAGGCTCTGGGGTTTGCCAGTGACACAGGCAGCCTGATGCTTAGCCAGTCCTCAGCATCACCCCAGATCACAGGGAGATATATCAGCCCATGTCACTCCCCTCCTGAGTGTGTGCCTACCAGCTGGAGGGGGATACTCAGGGGTAGTAAGTCTGCCATGAAGTGGTTTCAGCAGAGCAAATTGTGCTCTGGGCTACCTAAAATTAACACAGAACACCTGCACCGGGAAAAACAGACTTTGAGGGTTGTATTATTTTTACATCTATGCTATATTTTAATGTCTGAGTCATCCTTTCTCCAGCTGATGCTGTCTCCAAAAGCGAGCAGAGGGACCGAGTCCTTGGCCAGGGCAGCACCCTGCAGTGCAGCCCATCGCATGCCCGGCTGCCTGCTGGGGTGCTCCGGCTCTGCCTACTGCTCCATGCTGGAAGCACAGAGAGGGCAGGGGCTGCCCAGGAGCTTTGCCATCTCCAGCCAGAGGCCATCTGACAGGGCAGAGAGACCTGGAGCTTAAGGTACCAACCCTTTCCAGCTGCTTGTCCCCTCCTCGTGTGTACATGGGTAGGCAGGCACCCACCCTGGCAGGTGCTGGCCAGGCTTGCCAGGCTGCTCCCAGCACAGAGGACAGTTGGCCACTGCTGCAGCACCCCTGGCCCTTAGCACCAGCCCTGTGCCTTCACATTTCCCTGCCCATGATCCCAGTGGGTTCATCCCCCTCCAGGCAGCGGGGATGCTGCGAACACGGGCCAGGCTCACAACATCCTAGCTCAGCCAGCCCCTCACAGCAGGATAAGGCAGCTGCTGCATTAAATTTTGTTCAGAGCAATAAAAAGCAGGAAGAAGCCTTTTTCACATGGGTTATCTGACCAAGCAATTCAAACCACCAGTGCTTTAAAAAGTCCCGGCCGTTAAGAAATGTATCGTCGTCCCTTTTCAGAAATTGCCACCAATAGCAGCCCCAGGGCTTGCAGGCAGAGTTAGAAAGTCCCTGCTGTCCCCCCAGCACTGGCCTGAAGCTGTAGGACCATGACTTCAGCATCACCAACCAGAAAAGGAACCAGGACAATTCCTTGAATAGATACAGAATTAGATGGAAAACTGGGCTAAGAAATGAGGGATGAGACCAAACAGGAGGAGGGATGGAGGCAGGGAGGTGCCCCGGTGCCTGCAGGCAGCACTGAGTGCAGCAGTGCCTGCACCAAGAGATGTAATTTTTGTAGTGTTCTGAGTTTCTTGTGTTTGACAGGAAATATTTGGCAAGCTCAAGGCTTTGCTTCCTAACAAGTGCTGCTGCCAGTAATGAATGAAACACTCAAGGACTTCTGAAAGCAGAGTTTGCGTTTACATGTTTCCCTATTCCTTCTCAGCACCAGAAGTAACATCTGCTCCAAGGGATGCCCAGCCCTATGCCCACCCTGGGGGCAGAAAACACCCGAAGCCACCAAAGAAAGAGCCAGGCTGGGAGAAAACAGGGACGGGCTTCATCAGGGCTCTCGCTCGCCCTGCCTGGACTCACACCCTCTCCTCTACCTCACCTTCTCCCCCAAATGTCCCTCTGAGTAAAACCACACGCAGGACCCTGGCTCCCTCAGGGTCAAGTCCAAACCAGGAGGCACAACCCAAGGGCACAACCCAAAGCCGTGAGAGCCAGAGCAGAAAACCCCAGACCCCGCATGGCGCTGGCAAACCCAGAGGCTCAACTCCAAACCCCGACTCCAGCCAGTCTGCCCACAACGCGGCCAGTGCTGGCACCACTGGCTGGCAACCTGTCCCCTTTGCTATCCTTTAACTCCGTTTCTACCCTGAGCATCCCCATTTCCCTTGCTTCAGTTGCACGTACCCAAAAGCTTTGGGGTTTCTGCCTTTTTGATGCCAGAGCTATTTTTAACTACAAAGCTCCCAGCCCTGAGACACTTTCCACTGGCTGCGAATGGCACCGGCTGTGCCGGCAAGTGCACCGCGCTCTGGTACCTACCCCGGTGGCAGCTGGCCAGCATGGGGCCACAGCAGAGCAGGATGGTGCAGAGGCCAGGCAGGGCCACCTCCATGCTGCCCCACATCGTCTTCAAGGTACCCGGAGCCATGGGAAGGCGGTCGGTCCCCTGCCCGGGCAGGCGTGCTGTGTCGTATCGTGCCGCCCCCAGCTCTTTCCGTGCTTCCTTCCCCACAGCAGTGGCTTGTTCTCCGGCGTGCGCAGCAGGGGCTGGGGTGGAAATGAAACGTGCCCATCTCTGCCCCAGAGGGAAACCCGGGCTGCCTCCCACCCCCAGCTTCCTCCTCGAAGAGGCAGGGACCAGCTGAGCCAAGCCTGGCCCCTTCCACTGCTTGCGCGCTCCTGGCACGCTCCCACGCAGGCACCCAGCTGCCGAGCAGTGGGCATGGGCACCGCTAAACTTTCCCCAAAAGAGTGGGGGAAAGCTCCCAGGGATGGAGTGGGCAGGGACCACAGGGGGCATATCCTCAGCTCCGTGCTTGGCTCATAAGTAAAAGGGCTGTCTTGGGTTCCCGGGCACACATGGGTGCCCCCACCGGGTGCCCGTGGCAGTGGGGAGTTGGGGGACATGTGGCACTGGGCAGGCAGACAGGATCTGAGCAGGCATGGGGCACGTATTGGCAGGCTGGTCCCACCAGGAAGGGATGGGGGAGGAGGAAGGAGAAGGATAAGGAGGAGAAAGAGAAGGAGAAAGAAGGAGAAGGAGAAGGAGGAGAAGGAGAAGGAGAAGGAGAAGGAGAAGGAGAAGGAGAAGGAGGAGGAGGAGGAGGAGGAGGAGGAGGAGGAGGAGGAGGAGGAGGAGGAGGAGGAGGAGGAGGAGGAGGAGGAGGAGGAGGAGGAGGAGGAGGAGGAGAAGGAGGAGAAGGAGAAGGAGAAGGAGAAGAGAAAGAGAAGGAGAAGGAGAAGGAGAAGGAGAAGGAGAAGGAGAAGGAGAAGGAGAAGGAGAAGGAGAAGGAGAAGGAGAAGGAGAAGGAGAAGGAGAAGGAGAAGGAGAAGGAGAAGGAGAAGGAGAAGGAGAAGGAGGAAGTTTTGGTTCCTTAGGTGTTTCTCCAGAGACAGATTTGCAGAGAGCAGGGGCCGGTGCCTGGAGTCAGTTTGCTGTTATTGGAGTGATCTTTGCATCAGGGTTCTTCAATTTCTCCACCAGCTATCTTCCCCGCTTGCCTTGCTGACTAATACTCGCATAGGAAATAACCAGCGGTGAAAGCACGCCGTGGCTGGCTCCTCCGCTTCTCTCAAACACAGCCTCAGTGCCCCGCAGTTTTGGAAAGTGTCAGAGGAAAATTAATAATCAGGGTGAAGGATGTGATTCCTATGATGATTTCATTATTTTCTGGGCTTTCAGAAACAAGCTGCGAGGGTGAGGCTTGCTCACCAATCCCTTTCAGACATGGCCCCAGCAGGCAAGCAGACTGCGGGAGCCATTATTAATTTGGGATGGCCAAGGACAGGGTTCTGAGCGGGGCAGGCAGGGTTGGTGGCTCAATCCAGCCTGTCCTGAGTCCCCTTTTCCAGTCTCCTCCTGACACTGCAGCATCACTCCTTTCTTCTGAGCTTCTGGCCCTGCTTGGGCTACAGAGCAAGCCTGGGGGGCTGTCCTCTCCTTGTCACCTTTCCATGCTGCCTGGCCAGAGGCCACTGCCTCTCAGTGTGGCAAGGGGGGGACACTCTCCACCGTGTGCAATGGTGCTGGTGGGCTCTGAGGTGGACATCGCCTCTTCCTTCACAATTTCCTCCATTCTCATTAAAAAAAAACCTAACTAAACTAAACTAAACTGAACTTCAGAAAATATGGAAAGTCACAACAAGGAGGCTCTTTCACCTCAAGGCTTTGTGTCCCCAGATGGTGACACCAGGCATCTAGATGGGCTGAGTGTGGGGAGGCTTGTTTAGCAGTTGCAACATGTTTTGGTTTCTAGAGGTGGAAGATGTGACAGGTATCACCGCCGAGATCACGACTCACCCGAGACAGGGATCAGCAGGAAAAACTGGCTCATCCTCCCCGCCCTGCGTGGCAGCAGAGGGCTCTGATTAAAATCATAGCACGAATTGCTCAAACTTTCCAGTGCACACTCGAAATGGGGCGTAAGTTGGTACCCAGAGTGGGGAGGCTGCCACATCCACTAGAAACCAGTGGTGGCTAGATGCAGACCATACAGCAATGTTTTTGGATGCTCAGGTTCCTTCAGAAACACATGCCCCAGTGCTCCCCACCTTGCTCTTCAGCAGGCTGGGGACCAGCACCAACACTGGAGCCTTTCCAGGATGCTTGGGGTGCAGGATGAGGCTGAGTGCGGCCAGGAAGCACCAGGGAGCTTGCAGAGCGAGCAGCAGAAACCACAGGGGAGGGTGAACCAGGAGCTCTCCGGCAGCACACTGGTGGGAAGCTTGCTCCACCGCAAGACAGAGAACAGGGTTGGGGTTTTTTATCCCTTTTGCTGAAAAAAAAAAAAAAAAAAGTAAAGAAAGGATCAATCTCACTGCTAGGAAGCCACTGGGGGTCAAAGCGAGGTGAGCAGCGGTGCCGTGCCCCAGCCCAGCATGTGCCCTGGGTGCTGGCATCACAGAGGAGACCAGCCCTGGCCCCACAGCAGCCCCCAGGCTTCAGGCAGGCTTTTCACCCTGCCTGCACCCTGTCTGCGTGCTGCCAGACCAACACAGCTCCCGCTGGCTCCTGCACCAGCTTCTCCAGCACCAAAGGAAAATAGCCCGGCTCCAGCCCTGCTGCAGGTCCTGCTCATGCTGGCAAATCCCTTCCAGCCCAAACGGGGTGGATGGCACATCTTGGGGTTAGCCGAGGGGAAACTTGCAAGTTCCCAAAGATCCCTCCCCCACTGGTTTAACTGAATTCAGATCTGTGGGTCTGACCCAGGCAGATGTCGAGGTGGCTGGGACAAGAGGAAATGGTTAATAGTGTTTGCAAATAAACACAGAGTGCTTCAGGTCTTTCAGATACTTCTCAGAAATTAGGAAGGCCTCTGCAAATGATTTGCATGAGCAACAACACCACCTGACTCTGTGGGGAAAGGCAGTGGGTCTGGGGGGGGGGGGGGGGCGGTGTGTGAGTAAGCAGCGAGTAAGCAGAGGGATGGAGCAGAGGCACAAAACTGTTCCTTTAGCGAGCGGAAATCTGCAGGGCCTGGGCAGGGCAGTGGTAATTGTGATGTGAAGGTGCCACACAGGTATGACATGGGGCCACCGCCACCTCCAGTATGGCAGCGAGGTGCTGCTCCTGCCAGCAGGCAGAGCTGGTGCCCAGCCCGGCGGTACTAAGGGCTCTGATGGATGATCTTGAGCGAGCGGTGCTGCTGAATTCAGCCCGTGGAAATCAGGAGCAGCTGCTGCTGCTGCTCTGGGCCTCAGAGCAAGATGGGGTAGGACCTGGCGCCAGTTGGGATGTGTCCATGCACCCTGAGCGAAACCCCCGGCAGAGTTCCTGATGTGCAACCTCACACCCTCCTGCACCCAAGGGGCACCTCCAGGCAGCACCCTGCCCGCAGAGCCCCAATCCCAGCCCACCCCCAGCCCTGACGCACATCATAGCCCCCTCCAGCCCCTCATCCCCAGCAGCAGCACCTGCTGCACCTTCACACTGTTTCCATTCAAAGCACCCAAGGACCTTTCTCAGCAGTGTCACCAGCTGCACGTAAGAAACGTGATCACAGAGATCGCTGCATCAAGATAAACCACGGAGGAAGCAGGATGTCAGCTTCTCTGGAGGGGGCTGTGTCATACGCAAGCTGCTGTTTGCCAGCCTTCCTTGGGACAGACAGCAGCTGTGGGCAGGGAAAAGAGCGCAAGGGTGTGCAGAAGGGCAAGTGACAAATTTAAGCCTTTCTGGACGATTTCAGAAGTTCCCGGAGGAAAGGAGCGGGGCGGGGATCTCCGTGCTGATGGCAGGGAGGCGTAGGCCAGAAGCAGGAAGGGAGCGCAGGCTCTAGCAGCAGCACGTGGGCAGGAATTGGGGGAATGGGCTTCGTGAGGGCAACGCTCCCCAGCTGCGCTCCCCTCCGCCCGCTGCCCCCCCGATTTGGGGTGGGATGAGGGCCTGAAGCCACCTTCCCCGCCAAAGAGCCCACCCTTCTCCCCATTCGCCCTCCTGCCACGCTCACGTCCCCCTGCAGCGGGCTCACCGAACCCTTTATTTACAGGTGTAATTACTACTGCAGTGATTTACCGTTTATTCACCCTTTGTTTGAGTGTGTAAAAATGTTTATTGTAAGAAATGTGAAGATAAAAAAATAATACGCAAACACCAAAATTTTCCCCCTCCGTGGCCACCCCCCTCCCACGGCGCGAGGCGGAGCGGGGCGCGGCGCCGTGACGTAGAGTGGCGCGCCGTGACGCACGGGGCGGGAGGGGGGGGGAGGCGGAAGTGTCGGGGGTTGCCGTGGTAACCAACGCCGGGGCGGCCTGCGGGGCCCTGCGGCCATGGGCGAGCTGGGCCCGGACGATGGGGCCGGGAACACGTACAGCCTGCGGCCCGGCTTCCAGCGGCGGTGAGGCGGGGGGAGAGCTGGGGCCCTGGAGGCAGCGGGGCTCGTCTTTGGGGGGGGGGGGGTGCGACCCTGGGGATGTGAGAGCTGCGGGGGTCTGCCGGGGAAGGGGGTCCCTGGGCATGGGGCGGGAGGGCTGGCATGGCGCTAGGGGAGCTGGGGGGGGGGGGGGGGGGGTTAGAAATGGGGGAGCCCCGGGGTTTGAGGACTGGAGCGGCACTGGGCTGCCATGGGAACTTTGGCATGAGCTGTAGGGGGATGCGGGTGGGGAGGCGAGGGGAGCCCCGCAGGGGACACCGCTGGAGGGGCAACCTCCGATGGGGCTGGGTTTGCGCCCGGGTGTTTGGCTTGTGGCAGGGCTGGTTAAGTGGATCCATCGAAGCTGGGTGTTTTTCCCCATGGTTTTTCACTTGTCATTTTTCTTTAATAGGTGAAAGCTGAATTTTCCCAGGTGGGGCTAGGTATGTCTCTACACATTGTGTGAACTTTCTGGACCTTCTGTTGCTCTCTTTTTTTGCCCCAATAGATTTAAATCATCCACAGTAAAAGAATGCATCCATGCGATACTGAAGGAGAAGCTGGACAGCGTGCAGTACATCCCAGAAGAAATGCCTCAGCTTACACAGTCTTTATCAGAGACAATAAAAGATAGACTGAAAGGTAAGGAGGTTTGCAGGGGAAGTAGCTTCTTTTCTTACTGTGTCCT